CCCCCCCCGACACACACATGCAACGCCTACCAAAACTCCACCCTTCATGATAGCGCTGCTCATCCCACTACCCTGATAGATGGTGCTGTCGCCCCTTCCGTAGCACCACTCTGTGGAGGCACTTTATTCCTCCACACCAGTAGATGGCGGTAGTCCTCCACAAGGTGCACTTTCACCCCCATACCCCATCTAGTTTCACTTTCTTGGGAGTGGGTACCTGCCAACATATCTGCGGCTATAGTCCCAGTCTCTCCGGAGCCAATGCCAGAGAAGCCGATGGTCTTACATCAAAGAACAAGTATCAGCAGCTGATGATTTAAATTTGGTTAAAGCATTCCCTGTATATTACCACCCCAACAATCGTCCCATTTGGGAACCTATCCGTCTCTGGTTCTTAAGGACACGAAAAAAGCTATTACAGATTATAGACTGAGCTCACCTTACATAATAGGGGTATTAAGTTCACTTTTCACTGCATACACTTTTACACTAAATGATATAAAAGAATTGGTAAACACATTTTTCACTAACATACAGGTAACACTTTTCTTAGATGAATGGCAAGGTCGCATTCGGCAACATGCAGAGTGAGCCTTCACCAACACAGGTACCGCAGTCCTGGAATCCTTTAATAGGCTCTATGGGATGAGGCCTTATATTTCCAATCAGGCTCAAGCCAGAATTCCTATGAATGAATTGGACACTTCAAAGAATCTGGCTTTTCAAGCGATTCAAGCTGTTGCTGAGGCAGCGGAGCCAATACCCTCATATACCCAGGTACAACAAAGACCAATAGAGCCATTTATAGACTTTGCAGAAAGGTTAAAGAAAGCTATTGCAAAACAAATTAAACACCAAGAAGCTCAAGATGCACTATTTCTAAGATTGGCTATAGAGCAACCTAGTGATGATTGCCAATAAATATTAAGGACTCTTAAAGATCCCACTCCAATGGACATAGTTAAGGCATGTCGCAAAGTAGGATCCAGAAATTACAACAAATCTCTCCTAGCCGAAGTCCTGGCAGTGCAGAAGGAAGCTACCTGTCACCATTGCAAACAACCTGGACATTTTAAAAAAGATTGCCCTCAGCTGAAAACAAGAACGCCTACAGTACCTCCCAGCTTGTGCCCCCGATGCAAAAAGGGATTGCATTGGGCAAGTGACTGTAGATCACTCTTTGACAGAGAGGGCAGGCTGCTCTCACCAAAAGCTGTGCAAAAACTAGCTTCAATTCCGGGAAACGGGGAGCCGAGTCCGAGGGGCAGCGCTATGACAAAAAATGCCCCACAAGCCAACCACACTCAGCTGCTCCCCTCGATCACGGATGGAGAACCAGAGCAGGTATCCCTAGGGTGGAGCTGGCATCTCCCCACCAATTCACAATAAACAATGACAACTACCAGACAGCTCTCCTGAAGCCAACAACTAACCTGCTGGAAAATACATTCTACCAGGGACTGCTACGTCCACTCATACAGGGTTAACAATTGTCCCACAACTGATAACTGTAGACAGCCTGAAAGTAGTAGAAGTGAATGTCAAAGCTCTATTTCCACCCATGGAGCTGGAGACAAATACGCTTATTGCCAACCTAACCCCCATGATGTGGGAGGAAACACTTTGGACTCTATGCCTTTGGTCCAATGGTCACAATCAATTTGACTTGATCGCCCAGTGCTAACCTGTGCTGTATTCTTTCCCAATACTAACCCATGTGTTCAACTTAAAGATCTCATAGACACAGGAGCAGACGTCACAATCTTTGCTGAAGGCATCTGGCCAAAAGAATGGAACATGACACAGCCCTGCATTGACATCAAAGAGGTAGGAGAAGCCCAGGCACCACTCCAAAGTGTTTGCACTTTACTGATTGAAGGACTTGAAGGTAAAACAGCCTCTACAAGCCCTTATGTCCTTAATATTCCAATGACCCTCTGGGGGAGAGATATTATAGTGCAATGGGGAATCCACTTAACCACATCAAATTTAGCCTAAAGGCCACTGGTCAGCTGCCGTCTCCTGCCCTCACATGGCTCTTGGATGAGCCACGCTGGGTATCCCAGTGGCCTCTAAAGGGAGAGAAATTGCAACAAGTCAACTTCCTGGTAGATGAACAATTAGAAAGAGGACACCTTGTACCAAATGGTAGTCCCCAGAATTTCCCCATCTTTGCCATACAAAAGTCAAATGGAAAACAGAGATTACTACAGGACTTATTAGAACTCAATAAAACCATAGAGCCCATGGGAGCTCTCCAGCCCAGACTCCCATCACCAACAGTGATACCTGCAGAATGGCCTATTGTTATTATAGATATCAAAGACTGCTTCTTTAACATTGCCTTAAACCCTAAAGACTCTCGTAGGTTTGCTTTTACAGTGCCTTCCATCAACGCAGCAGAACCATCTCGATGTTATTGCTGGACAGTCCTTCCTCAAGGGATGAGAAACAGTGTGCCAAAGAGTCGTTGCCAAAGAGTTGTTACAGATGTCTTATCACCAATCTGTCGACAGTTTCCAAATACCATTCTGTACCACTATATGGATGACATCCTCCTGGTAGTGGGGTCCGAGGGACAGCTCACGCAAGTACATTTGTCTGTGAAAGCTGCACTATTGAAACATGGCCTTGAGATTGCACCAGGAAAAGAACAAATGACAGTTACACGGAAGTACCTTGGATTTCAAATTAATAACACCACTATTCAACCTCAGACTGTAGCTTTATCCACCAACATCCACACCTTGAATGACTTACAATCTTTACTAGGTTTAATTAATTGGGTTAGACCTCTCTTAGGTATAAGAACAGATGTCCTGAAACCACTATTTCAACTCCTGAAAGGGGAGGCAGACTTGACATCCCCTCGACGCTTAACACCAGAAGCCCTGGAAGTGTTGCAGGAGATAAATCAAAGGCTGAGTTCATGTCAGCCTAAGTGAAAAGTGTGTGGCTTACCTGTTGTGTTAGTAATTTTCAAAGGCATCAAACAACCCTATGCTGTATTAGGACAATTAAATGTAAAACACAAGGACTTTCTGTTATGGGAATGGGTTTTTCTAAGTTTTCAGTTTTCTAAATCTGTTACTACATATCCTGAGATGCTCTCCAAGGTGTGCCACAAAAGCAGACTGCAGCTTTGGGAGCTCTTGGGAAGGGACCCAGATGTCATCTGTGTTCCTCTGTCTACTGTTCAACTAACTCAGTTTGTTAATTCATAGTACTGACTTACTAGCCATTGCTGATTTTAAGGGTCAATTTTCAGTGCACCTCCCATCTATCCCCTTTTTACAGCTACTAGCCCTTACCCAACCAGAGCTAACAAATAATTATTCACCTGTCCCACTAACAAGTGCTAGAACTGTTTTCACAGATGGTTCTGGCAAGACATCTAACGCAGTAGTCACCTAGCAAAAAGGGGGAAGTGGGTATTTGACAGGCACAAGGTAAGAGGTTCCTCTCAGATAGCGGAGCTCTCTGCAGTCATACGTGCATTTCAACTGTTTCCAGAGCCTTTGAACATTGTTTTCGATTTGGCCTATGTCATTGGGGTAGTCTGACAAATTGAAAATTCTTACATAAAGGATCTCTCCCAATTACAATTAGCTCGCATGTTCAAACCATTACTCTATGAAATTAGTCATCGCAAACACAAATTCCACATAATCCACATTCATTCTCACACTTCTCTCCCAGGGCCCATCGCAGCAGGAAATCATGTCGCAGATCATGTAGCTGACACAGGGCACCTGGCACAAACTGCAGTGGTTCCAAATAATTTTGAAAAAGCAAAGCTGTCCCACAGCTTTTTTCATCAGAATACAAAATCCCTCACAAAAACATTCCAACTCACACTATCTCAAGATAGAGCAATTATTTCTGCCTGCCCAGATTGCCAAAGACTCACTCCTCTACCATCTGAGGGAGTAAACACCCGTGGAATTAATCCACTTGACATCTGGCAGTCAGACATAACACATTATTCACCATTTGGAAAGTTAAAATACATCCATGTATCTATTGACACATGTTCTGGTGCCATTGCAGCAACAGCACATCAGGAGAAAAGGCACACCATGTCAAAAAACACTTCATGTCTGCAATATCAATCCTTGGCATCCCCAAAACTATTAAAACCAATAACAGCCCGGCCTACACCTCTCAATCGTTAAAAGAGTTTTTCAACATGTGGGGAATTTCACATGTTATAGGGATCCCCCACTCTTCCACTGGTCAAGCTGGGGTAGAACATGCCCATCAGACACTCAAAAATATGTTAACCAAACAATAAAACACCACAATTGGACTCACGCCACAAGAAAAATTAAATAAGGCCTTATGTGTTACTAACTTCTTAAATAGATTAGACCGGGGCACCTCACCCATAGAAAGACACTGTAATGCGCACTGAAACAAAGTCCGTACTGATGCCAGGGTTACTTATAAAGATGTTATAACAGCTGAATGAGTTGGTCTTGTTCCTCTTATCACCTGGAGGAGGGGGCATGCTTGTGTTTCCACAGATTCCGGTCCCAAGTGGGTTCCATCTCACCTGGTGAAATTTTACAACAGCGACTAGATACCACCATGATCTACATCATCATCATCATCCTAATCCATCCTGTCATCACATCAGATCAGTCTTCTCCCACAACTCCTCCTCTTCCAGATTGAGTTGCCACTAACCCTGGAAATGTGGTCTTCTTTAGCTAAGTCTTTAAATGTCGATTCCTTGTGCCTCTCAGTCTCAGATCCCTCTAACCCATTAAAAACATGTTTGGTTGCGATCCCCTGGTCCCCTCAAAAATGGACAGGATTCTGAAATCAATACTCCCTTTTGTGCAATGATCCTGACAAAAATAAAAACCAAAGTGTGTCCTGCTTCCCCCAACCCCCAAAGGCCAAAACAGATCCTCAATATTTCAACAGTTATCCTGAAGAATTACAAATTTTAGATACCCTTCCCCTCAGCACACTGTTACTATTTTAATATAAAAATGGAGGAAAGAAGTAAACATCAGCTTAATGTAACATCTGATGGAGCCTATTCTAGCTTTGAGTTCTGGTGCAAGGAAAAAATTGAACCCCCCCCCACTATCCATTGCCCTCCCCAAAGCGGTGTTCCTTATCTGTGGACTTCGGGTATGGAAATCAATCCCTAAAGAGGCGGTCAGGGGACCTTGCACCTTTGGTCAATTATCACTTTATAATCCCGCAAAGGTAATCCATTCCCTAGGTATTAACTCTCCCAAAACAATCACAAAACGTGATATCACCGTCCACCCTGAAAAGCTGGACTCACTTGCATTCCAGCGACTTAAAGAGAGTGGAAAACCATTCATTGAAGGACCAATTATCACAAACAGAGCCCCTCAACAAGCCCCTCACCCTCCGGCTCAGTAACATCCCCTTTTGAAATATCAAAATTTGCAACAATTCACCCAAGATTATGACTCTAACCTTCACTTCTGGTCACATAGCAAGGATAGCAGCATAATAATTCCAGCCACTGACACAACACATGCCCTAGACCTGCTTACAAAAATAGGATGTTGGTTAGCCAAGGAGGCAAATGCAACTAGTGCAGCACTAGAAGACCTGTTACTGGATTCTCAACAAATTAAGAAAGCCACTTTACAGAATAGAGCAGCCATTGATTTTCTGTTGCTGGTTAATGGACATGGCTGCGATGAATTTGAGCAGCTGTGCTGTCTAAATTATTCTGACCATTCCCAATCCATCCACTCTCACATAAATGAACTCCATTCCCTCATTCAACAAATCCTAAAATCAGATGAGACTAGCTGGGATTATATGTTTGGTTGGCTTTCCCTGAAAGGACTCTCACTGCCCCTGAAAAAATTCTTATTATTTTTCCTTTTAGGTCTGTTTGTGCTAGCAATCCTTCACATTCTCCTGTGCATAGCTAAATGTTTCCAGGGTCTTGTGATGCACAGCGTTACCCAAGTTTATGTTTCATTAATAAATAAAAATGGAGGAATTGCGGGAGAATACAGAGATTATGAGTCATGGAAAGAATGCCTATAGGAACAGGTCCCTCATGGCGGCAGCTCTCTGGGATCGAGTGGAGTGGAAAGACCCCGATTACTTGCATTTTTATTGTACAGTTCTGCCCCAAATTCTGTAATTTCCTTTACCTACACGGTCTCCCTGCACAGCACCATGTTCTCTCCCCTCCCTGAACCAGTCCCCGCCCCTGCACAAGCATTATTGGTTGTCTCATCTGTCTCTCCCCAATCCCTGGTTTGTTATTGGACTTTGGTCCTCCTGTATCCCCCACTGGCTAGCAGAGCCCTCAAGCCACTCCCTTTCCCCTGAACCCTTGCCCAATCACATTCCCCTTTCTATACCCTTCCCTGGAGACTTTAAAAGCCCATGGGATTTTGAATAAACTGCTTTTTGCCACTGGAATCCAGAGAAGAAACCTCGTGGTCCTTTCCTCCTGGTAAAGGGGGATCACACCACAGGGACCCTCTCTGAGAAGCAGTGAGCAAGGAGTCAACTAGCAATCAACTCTGTTAGCTCTGCAGGTCCTTAATTTCCCATAAATGTATTTTCTTCTGGCCTATTCTGAAAAGAGAGGCTTGCCTGTCTTCCAGCTATAAAAAGGACTATCTACCTTCTTGGGAAATTTAT